AATTAATCTTTGCATTTTCCTTAATTAAGGGTGGCTACATTAAAATTTTCTTCATTACTGTTATGTGGGGGGATATCATATAGTGATGAGGAAGACAACAACAACAAAACCAAATGTTATTTTTTTCTATTTTTGTTATAGTGGCAATAAACATATAAATTAATACATATTTGTTTTTCATTACAGCCGTGCCTGCTCTAACCGTCACGGTTTGATCCGTAAATATGGCTTGAACATCTGCCGTCAATGCTTCAGAGAATACGCCAACGACATTGGCTTCAAGAAGGTATGAGACTGCATTTGTACACATTCCCTTTACCTTCAAATTTATTAATGTTTTTCTTCTTTGTTTTTTCTTTTACAGTTGGATTAAATCCGCTTTTTTGATGACCACATCTATGAAGAGAAACGCCACACCCCAACCATTAGAAAGTCTTATGGACTTTTGTTGCACACACAGTGCAAATGGAATGCGTCACCATTTTTTTTAGTTAAATATGGCCAGTGGGGGTGTTTTATAAATAACTAAATTTTCCTCATATTGTTGGAAAAACATTTTCCAATGGTTAATAAAAAAGATATTTAAAACACACATTTTATTTATTTTTTATTTTCTATAAACTTGTCAATTATTAATGATTTAACGAAAAGTTTACATGTTCATCTAGTTTTTATTGCTTGGGTGTTGACATCCTTTCCCATTCGTTTTAAAAACCAGCTATATTTTTTTGTTGAAAAGAAAAATGAATGTAACTTCCTGTTAATGGTAAAGACAAATTCGACACTTGTTGCACAGACTGGTTATATGAGTAGCAAGCAGTACATACGCTCTATTACAAAATAAATTGAATTGTGGCATTGAGTCTATGTTACCAGAGCAACGTAATTTGAACCAGTAGACAAACCACATTTATGGTTTTAGTTTATTAGTGGGACAAATACTGGTATTTTTCTATATCCTCTGAGGGAATAGTATATCCAAAATAAATTGTATGGAAATAAAAAAACGTGGCATTAATTGCAAATAGAGAAATTGGAGAATATTCATATAAATAGAATTTGACGCATTTGTTCTCATAAAATATAAAGTAAATAATAAAATAATGCGAATCATAAATATTTCTTTAGAAAACGGACAATGTATATGATGACTTACGTCAAGTTTAAAGCCCGGCCATATACGTCTGTCAGTAGAAATAGAGTTCGCAATATTTAAGATAGAGCTAAAATTGAGCATTGAAAATGGGATGTACGTTACGAAATTGGGTATCCAAAATATTGGGTTGGTTGATGGGTAACGTACATCCCATTTTCAATGCTCAATTTTAGATCTATATTTAACCCTCGATATTCGATATTTTAAGGATTTCAAACACATTTTCAATTGAATTGGCTGCGATTATATATTTTTAATTCTCATTACGGGCAAATCTTCATACCACAAATCATCAATATCGTTCTACATTTGCACCCATATACAAGTCCAGCACGTTTACATGTGTTTCTCGTCGCATTTTCCAACTGAAGTGCTATCTTTGCTATTACGAATTGACTGTAATTTTGCATTCCGCGATCTTGTTAGTAAGCAACTTTATTACAAAGCATTTTTCATGAATAAGTCCATGTTTCCACATAGGTCACAAGTCAATTTCGATATGTTCAACATCCTAGGCATATTTCCAAAAATTAGTATCTGTTGTTTGATATACTGCTTTCTCCTGGCAGCAATTTGCGATGGCATAGCCCCCACATAAAAATCGAGAACGAATATAGTTATTTTTAATATCTCATTTTTATTTATTTTTAATATCTCTCATGATGGAACGTATCAAAAATTTGTTTACATGTTATTAATGCGGATGTCCATACTTCCAGAAATAAGGGGCTCCACACTTGTTCAGGATATTAATAATAATACAAAAGACCTTAACGTATTAAATTTTCTTAACACTCCAGATTTTTGTGATGATACATAGAATACACATACATAGAATACACCAATGAAATGTATAGAATGTGTGAAATGGTCTTGCAGAATAATTAAATATTTAGCAATTTAACGTAATGGAGAAGTCCGTATAGAGGGTCTTATTTGTTGTGATGCTGTGATGATCTAAACCATGAACCAAAAACTGTTCCAGTAATATAAGTGGTAGGAGTTCTAAAACTTAACACCACGAGATATAGGATAGAAGAGGCGGTTTTAATCTTAAATACTGCATAAGGGAACCCACCCATTTTCGATTTGAAATGTTGATCATTTTCAAACGGCGGGGAAATCAATGTACGTATTATATTGAAGTCTTGTTTCTTTGCATATATGTTCGTGAAGACTTAAAGGATAAGAAAATTAATAGACATAATGTTCTTGTTGTTGTTTTGTAGGTCTTTTTTGTAATTAAAGAAAAGTCATTCTTTTCAACGATGGGCATTATTTCCGACCACTGGAAAGTCCGAAACTAGGATAATTAACATCGCACAAAAATTAAGAAAATGACGGACATATGAAGTGGGAAAATTACATATTTTTTTGGAAAAATTACATATTTTCGGCCAAAATCATGTTAGAAAATTAGGAAAATCTAAAAGGGACCTTCTTGAATTAGTGTAGGTTTGAGATAAATAGAAAACAAATATATTTTTTTGCATCCGATCATTAAACTTTTATGGAATAGTGGCTACCCTAAATGGTGTACGGTATTTTCGGTTTTGGAGCCACGTTTTACAGTCGTATTCGACCCCGACATTTTCACTTGTTTTTTTACTTGTAAGGGATTTGAATAGAGAATATTATAGCCGCATAGAAGAGTGTTTTCTACAATATTTTGGGATCTAATTGGAGGATATTATTCAAAGCTTTATCATTGAGATTTTTAATAGTTTTTGGAGGCAGAAAACTTTAAATCATAGATAAAGACAATTTAAAGGAAATTGTGTGCGCTAGAGAATAACTGATTTTCGAAAAGTTATAATATTGCCATGCCAAATTAGAATGGTTAATGCGTTGTGGGAATTTCGTAAGTAGAAAAATACATTAAACATTAATTTATTTGAAAGCTTTAAAAATGAATACAAAATTTAAATTTGTACATACCTTATTATTTGTTTTTAGTTATTAAACTAAAATTTATTCTCGTCGGCATGTGACGTCCGACCACTGGAACAACTGAAATCAAAAATGTATATGAACTATTAATATGATTTATCCTAAATATATTATATATAAGCTATTTTTGTATAAAATAACGTATTAAAATGTTGTATTAAAATAAAAAACTTAAAAAAGTTTCGAGAAAAAATATATTTGAGGGAGGGTGTTTGGGAAGATGTTCTGTTATATGCCTAAGACTTCGGGGTTTTTTTTTAACAAGTTGAAGTAAAAGCATTTCGCTACAATTATTCTTATAAGGTTATTTATGGAGAAAAAGAAAGAGGGAGAAGAATATATTGAAAAGGATTTTCACGTCGAAATTCCTTAACAATAATATTGTTAAGGTAGAATAATTAGGATATAGTTTAGGTGAATTTAGAGCTTTGCTTTCGACAATAAAAATATACTTTGGATATTTATACGTTTTGTTATAGGTAATTATTGTTATGGGTAATTATTTTAAATTTTGACTACAAAATACGAAAAGGAGAGAACCTATATAGTTCAGAGAACGTATCGTAAGACAGCGAGTATTCAACAATTTAATAGCAACCCCTTATTTTGTTTTACTTCAGGCAAACCAAAGTCCTAATCGGAGGTACATTTTTTATTTGAAAAACTTTACAGCAGCCCTTTTGTGTAACTTGAACTTTAGAAAATGTAGTATGACATTTACCAAAATCTACTACTTCCTGTTTTTCAAATTACAAACCTTTTGTTGATGGGTCAACAAAAATATTGGTAATTGGACTTTGGTAATTCTCATTAAAAGTAAAAAAAAATCAACAATTACAAATTGCACAAAGTCTATTGTAAAATTAAAAATTAAATTAAAAAAGCAAAAAAAAAAAAACATTTGTTGCTACATTGAAATATGTGAAGAATAATATTTTTTGGGGCTAACATTCACGTTTATTGCCATAAATTCAGGAGGTTTTAATACACCATTAAAAACAAAAGTACACTAATAAAAATGATAATACTATTATAAAAAAATCCAACAACAAAATATTTCGTACTTCAGCCGATAGGTGAGAAGAGTGTGGAATTGAAAAACGTCCAAAATAAAACAAAAATTTACCACCTTAAACACAGCGGCATAGAGCCTCAGTGACTTAAATTTTAAAGTCGTACACGAATAGTCTGAACACCAACAACTTAGTTTTTGTTGTTGTTGATATTGAGTATGATTTTCCACAATTAAGGTGGTTTGAATATAACAGTACAGTGGTTACAAAAGGAGTGTTTTTGAAATGTTTAGATAGGGGACACATTATTTTTTTTTTTAAATATAAAGGGGGTTTTCATATAGAACGATCTAGTCGTATTAATCCGATAACAGCAAAGTCCAAAATAGTAAATTTGTAAAATTCCAGAATTTTGAATATTTATAGAATTTGATAGATTCTAACATATAACAATGCCGCTTCTATATTTCATTGCATTGGAAGATCGGCTGGCAAAGAGTTATCCTGTTTATTAGTAATGAATTTGTATAAATAAATAATAAATTTATATTTTATTTGGAGGTATCGAATACTTATTTATTGAAAGCAATATAATGGATATTGGGGTATTTTGAAGGATAGTAATATTGAGTTCTCTTGGATATTGTAGCTATAACCTTTTTGAATTGAATTATTAATGTCTTGGGTTGGAAACGGGATTTTCTTGATCAGAATTAAATTCTATATCAATTTAGCCATGTTCGCAAGTCTGAAAGTCCTTTGTTAACATCAAGTTGCTACTACTCATATGGTGTTAGTTATTGAAAATTGAATATACTTGTCCACGTTTTGGTACAGGGACAGTATGACAGTACCCCAAAGTATTTTTTTTTTGTTTCGGGGTGCTTTTGAACCTTATTAGATACTTGGGTTCTCATTGGGTAGCAAACAAAGAAATTATCAACATGTTTCTACATTTTAGGGAAGCTGGGCAGGTTTTTAACCGAATTGGCTATAATTTTACCCTACACAACTATGTTTTTAGGGTATTATAGCCTTGTGTGCCCCCGTCCGCCAGTCTGTCCATTATAAGGGATCTGACCATTGTATAATAAAGTTTTCATGTTTCTGTTTTCATGAAGATCGGTTAATATTAAGCAGGTAAAATGGACCCAGAATTTTGTGTGAAAAATTATAAAATGTGTTTTCTGTGGCGTATATATTTATCTCTGTAGAAAGATCGACCCTTAGAAGTTCATTGTATATCCAAGAGGAGTGCCAGTGCTCATTGGGTTTCAATTTTAAAAAATAACAAAACTGGTCCACTTTTTAGGTTAGACCCCATGTAACAGTACCTCCCAAATATCAGATTTTTTTCAACCGAATT